AAAAAAACATAGTAAATTAATGTGGTTCAATCAACGTGACATACATCTATGGGCAGGAACTGAAGAACTCTTCACTCTTAATTGTTTTCAAAGTGATTACATTAGAATATCTAAGTATGAATACTTATAATCATAAACTCTAACAACTGTTCGGCAGAACCTCGTAATTAAATAACTCCAAAATAACTAAATAGGTTCTTAATTGGCTTTCGGCTTAACTCGAAACCTAATAGTCTCATGTTTGCAGTGAGAGATTAGTCGGTGCGCGAAAGCTAACCCGAAAATCTTTGTTAGTGAAGTTCTCTATAAAACAAAAAACCTAACAACCTCAATCTACTACAAACACTTAATCTTTTTTTAACTTAATTTGTTACGAATCAAATTATTCATTCGAATAACCAAAAATCCAAGTAATACTCTAGAATAACTCATGTATAACGCTTTATTTGATCCGAAGCCGGTAAAAAGAAACATGAATGATGAACCTACCAACCCACCGGCCACCGCCACACTATCACAAATTCACAATAAAGGGTCATAACTAATGTTCCATGTATGTTGCCTTTCTGTTAGGTCATGTGACCAGTGCACCTTTTTTTTTCATGATTTTTTTTTCATTCTAAAACATTGAGCTATCTGAAAAATACAGTTTTACCTTTGCTTTCTAAAAAATAGTGAATAACTCCTTATAAATCTTATTTTATTATTGTTCATTATCTAATATTTGTTAAACCAAAAAGTACACACCAACCCAAAATAGGGCTTCAAAAGTCGTATAATTTCCTTTCAAGAGCTTCGAGAGTTGCAATATTTTTCAAATTTAAATTATTATTCAGAATCCTCACGTAATCCGCCCAATTTGAAATCTTCTTCATTTCAATCAAACCCTTGCTCGTGACAACTTCATCTGCATTTCCGTGTGAGTTAGCTTTGAATTTGATACTGTTAATGTCGATTTTCATTGTTTGCTTGTGAAATTTGTGATCCGATGGCTACATCGGCATTTAAGTCGACGACGAAAAGAGATCCGATTGGAACTTCATCGCCCTCAACTGACGACTCGCCGACCTCTTCGGCGTCTAAGGCTCACAGACGTTCTCGAAGTCTTAGTAGATTCTCACGGCCGATTCCAGCGGAGATTGATTCAGGTGTTCTTCCTACTCCAAGGCGCAAGTTTGTTAACACCGTGAGAGGTTCAGATTTCCCGGAAATTAGTCTTGATGATCTAGCAATTGAGTTTTTCTCGGGGAAGGATAACAGCTCTGAGGTAGATGATGAGAGTGGAAGCAGTAGAAGCAGCCGGCCTGTCCGTGTGAAGTCTGAGATTAGTCCTGTGCTGGGTTCGTCTCAACGGCGTGGGAGGTCTGTGTCAAGGCGTAACGATGATACTGCTTCTAATGCTGGTGGTACAATTAGAGCTGTGCCACATGCTGAGATTAGTTCTGTAACACCTTCGTCTCAAAGGCGTGGGAGGTCTGTGTCGAGGCGTAACGATGGTACTCCATCTAATGCTGGTGGTATTACTAGGGCTGTTCCAAATGCTGATTCAAGGAGGAGGCGGTCTGTATCAGTTGCACGGTATCAGATTAGTGATTCTGAGGTATATTTTAGTTTTGACTTGATTGTATACTGTTATGTGTATGCTGAGTATCTTAGATGGAATCTCACCTAAATAAGAGTAAAGTAGAATTCTCAATGAAATCTATGGCCCATTGATACTGTTATGGGAAATATGTTTAAATATTTTCTCAAATCTTCATTGGTAATGCCTTCCAATCTTCACATAACCTTTTATAGCTGATCAAATTTGCTTATCTGATTGACAGAGTGATATAGATCTTTCCCGGAGTTCTACCAATCAGCCCAAATCTAGGAGCATCAATAATGGCAATGGCAATAGTCGGGTTGCTTCTTTTCAAAGACCCACTGCTTCAAGTCATCGAAAACTAAGCAGGTCTATGAGTCAAACACCTCAATGGAGGTCACACGATGGCTACTCGGTAAAGCCAACACGTCCTCAAGTATTATTTACTGTTTATTTTGATATTTGTTACATTCTTTTAGCTTGAAAAGCTGTATGAAACTATGAATAAATCTTACACAAGTCTTAATGGTGTACACTGTCTATGGTAATCTCAGAGCCAGTCTTCAGCATTGACTGATGATGATTCAAGAGATGCCCGTTACGGGAAAAATGAAATTGAGAAGACTATTCGAGCTGTTTATGCACAAAAAAAGGTGTGTGTGTGTGTGTTTTCTTTCTATAGTGGAAGTGTGTGGGGGGTTTATGATTGTGTCTGGACTTATACTGTTTATATCTGCAATTTTAATCATCCAATCTTATGTTGTAGATTGACCACCCCACTGGGGATAATGTTGACAATGGACTTTATCAAGCAATGAGAAAAGAGCTTCGATCTGCTGTGAATGAAATCATGATAGGACTTGAACAGGTCTATCTGTATTTAAAAATTTTAAATGTCATGAACATGATGCTTCAAAATATATTTGTTGACTCCTGCATTTTTTCTGTAAAAAAAAAATCCAGACCATGGAAAGAAAGCCTTCTGCATTGTCTGTCCATGATCGCTTGCATTCAAACAAATCCGATGGTCTTCAAAACAAGACTATGACTACAACAAGAAAGAACTACCCAACAAAGTCAAAAGAGGTAATAAGGTTTAATCTAGTATATAATTTAGTAACAGTTGGATTCATGGTTAAAAGTTGGAACTTTAAATGATGTTTTTTTTTAGCATCAGGGTGAAGATGGGTACAAGATTGTTAAGGAGGTGCTTCCTGAGTCAAAGAACAATGCTAATGCACAGAAAGCTTCATACTCCAGAAAGGTATAGTTGTATAAGACTACATTGTTGCAACCTTTGTAGGGTTATTTATGATGAGGAGGAGGGCATTTTTACAGCAATGAGAAATGCAGAGAAACTTAAGTTTTTAAAGGGTAATGGTATTGAACTTGCAGAGGAGCAAATGATAGGAGCAGAATGTCTAAAAGATTAAACGAAGAAGCAGAGAGGTATCTTGAAGACTTCATATCAAATATTGAAGATACAGATTTTTCTTCTTTTGATGGTGAAAGAAGTGACACGAGTTCAACCTTAGTTGGAGCTACAAAACCAATCCAAAATGGTAGTCCTGGTCCTGTGGGTGCAGCAGCAGGAATGAAGTCTGTTCCAGTTGAAATGGAAGGCGTTAATCTACCTTGGTTGAAATGGGATGACACTGATGCTGTTATTTCAACTCCAACAAATACAATACAGACTCCTACAACCCCAAAACCAAAACTGTGGGACCCATCTCAGGTAATTAAATTATTCATCATCTCTTAGTTTGTACCAGTGAATTTTCAACTTTGGATTGTATGGTACAGGATTTGGAATTGATCCAAGAACAACAAGGCAGCAGCAGCAGCCATGGAAGTTGGGACCCACCTCTACATAATAAAAGTGCTTCTTCAACGAATAGAAGAGAAAGCAAAAGCCATGATGGATGTTTGGACATGAACAAGTATTTGGAGCTTGAGAAGAATGAGCAGCTCATGTTTGATAGGTGGAGGGAAAGAAATGTGATTCGGTCTGGTGGTCTGTTGCTTTCTGGCGTACTAGTCAAATCTTTCTTACATTTCTAGCTTTAATTTATTAATCTTAATCTTCTTGCCTTTCATTCAATTAATATATTTAACACTTGTTTCGGGTAGGTTGGTAGGTTTCAGAATTAAAGACAGCCATTATGTTGGGTTGGGTTGGGTTGTTATCAGTTTTTAGCAGTTGAGATCTATCTATTGATTATTTGAAATACAAAAACAAAATCATGTACAAAAACATAAGGTTGCTATTTCATAAAAATTTATACCAACTGAGTAAATTTATCCCTCCCATAAAAACTCAGAGAGCACAGTAAAAAAAAAAAAAAAATTGCATTTGTTGCAAGTGAACATACCCTCTCGGGCTCAGTAGTTGCTACAAAGAAAGAATTCCGTCGATACACAATAAACCAACGCCAAAAGGAAAGGAATACAGTCAGTGGTTTCCATTCCATCTCCAATCCGTTATCATTATATATATATGCACTTGCTTGTTTCCATGGCAAAAATAAAAACTCACATCCATCCTCTTTGACTTTGACTTTGAAAAAAAATCTATCTTATCCTCTGGCTGTATGAAGAAAGTGTTGAGTGAGTCAGTCGATCTCTCCTTCCTCTGGATCATCTACTTGTGTAGGTGGAGCAGGTTCATCTTCCTCTTCATCTTCATCATCATCTTTCATGTATAAACCAAGCTGCTCTAATGGATTACGTTTTCCATCAAAGTTGAAGGCACTGCCAGTCCCTCCTCCTCCTAAACCTAAACCTAAAGGAAGAGGGCTCGGGTCCACCAGACCAAGACCACAATCTGCACTAGTTTCGTCTATCAAGCTTTCTAAAGGCTGTGCAGGTGCTACGCTTAGCATTTCCAAATCATCCAGAAACCCAGAATTGTCATTTATATCAACCATCTTTTCCATCTGTCACATCACATCACACCACTCAAATTTCCACTTATATTTTATTCAACAGCCAACAGACCATCTTATAATAATTAAAATACCTTCTGTATGGCCTGACGTGCGGCTTCCCTTTCAAGTTCCCTCTTCCTTTTGGCTTCAGCTGCAGCTTCTAATTCAGCATTTCTCCGCGCCTCCTCTGCAGCCTTTGCTTCTGCTTCCAATCGAGCTTTTTCTATACCATAACAAATAACAAACTTCAGTAATAATAATAATAACATCCACAACATATGTTAAAAAAAATAAAAAAAAAAACCTTGTTTTCTTCTCTTTTCTACTTCCTCCTTCTCAAGCCTCAACCTTTCCCTATCCTGCTCCTCAACCTGAACCACATCCACAAATACATATACATGTCAGTGAGTGTGTGGAATGGAATGGAGTAAGAGCCAAGAGGGGTAATTTAGACCTTTCCGGTGGTTTTTTTCTTGGGCTTTGAGTATGGTGTCAGCAAAACGGCTTCTCAATAGGGCTGCACGGTAAAGCTTATCAGGAGAGACTTGCCTCTCTCTCTCTTTCTCTGATGGAGCAGGAGCAGGAGCAGGAGCATCACTCTCCCCTAAAATAATGTAGCCAGCATTAGAGATCAGATGACATCTCCCAAAAGGCCAAAACCAACACTTTCTTCCTTATTTTCATTGCTTACCCTCTTGACGCCCTTCACTTTCACCCGCATCACACTTTTGCTCCCCATTTACACAATCTGAAAATTTTCAAACAAGGACATGATTGATTGTAAACAATTTTAAACGACACTCATTTTTACATTAGCCTCACAATTACCTTTTGCATCATCAGGAACAGGTATTTGCTCCGTATTATTAACTTCACTGCCCATTGTCATTGTGTCCTAAATATGAAACCAATCATCATCAACATAACTTATTATAATGTGAAGAGAATGAATACCTTAGCATTGTTGACAATGGTTGGAGCCTTTGCATCATCTGATTCACTGCCTGAAGAACTCCCTGAATCTGATTCTGCACAAACATGCAGTGGGAAACAGAATCTTGTTCATGAATAACCATGTGAAGAATAGCATCATAAGAGATTTGAATGGATTTATTTGGTATATTTTCATTTCACATGACAAGTCCAGAATGAGAGAATTCAAAAGCTTCAAAGTAACACAAACCACTAGATGCTGATCCGGAACCACTACTGGAGCTACTTGAACTACTGCTTTTGCTGTTCCTCACAGCTGTGTCTCTCTCTATCTCTACTGGAGGGAAGCTTGAAATAGGTATCTCATCTCCACCAATGTCCACATCCTCTTCATTACCTTCATTAGCTGAAACTAACAACAAAATTACAACCAACCACCAAAACAACCATATTTCAGCTTCCATGGAAATAAATAAATAAATAAAATAAAACCTTTGCATGCTTGCATAGATGAGTTGCTGAACCCTGACTCATTGTGAAGCTGCAATAACACATACAGAATCAAAACAATCACCCAAAACCGCTTGCTAAACAGGGATCTTTGTAAGAAATTTGTACCTCAATATCACAAGTTTCATCTTTAACCATGTTTTTCTGTTTCTCCACGAAATGATCATCCAAAAGCTTCCTCAATTTGAATAGAGTATCATCACTAAGGGTATAAATATCAATCTCAATTTCATCCTCCACTGTGGCATTCCCATGTGAACTGTTCTCTTTAAGGAAATCAATAATTCTTTCGGGTAAATCCGTTATTGAAGACTCCAATTCAAGGCTAAGTTTACGCTTTTCAGCATCTGACATTGTCCTCTTAACAGCTTCTTGCTTTGTTTCATTACCAAAAGATGTTGTCTTCTTTTTCTTGTAGGGGGGCATGGAAATAGGAGGTTCCGTTTCAGTTTCTACAACATTCTGTCTCATAGGAACCACTGCCTCTGTGGCAACTGACAGCTTCTTCTCGATTGGTTTCCATCTGACTTCAAAGTACTTGCTCAATGTTTCAGCCATTATATGCACATCATTCCCGCGTGGATTGTATGTCATTGCATTTGAAAAGGTCAGTCTAACATCACCTGCAAAAGCCCATGGATCCATATATCTTCCTGACATTAACTTTGTTTTCACTGTCCCCAAATCCATTGGATGCTGAATAACAGTGTAATAGTCTGGAATCTTTAGAGCTACTACATCAACAGGAGTATTAAACACCCAACCAAAATTATGCCCCATCAACCGAGTCAATAGTGCCTCACATTGCTTCATCAACATGGCATTCCCAGTCCCAGAAGTTGGAGGTAATGCCTTCTTTGTAGATTCCACACGGGCTGACCCGCTCTTCTTTGACCGGGACCCACCACTCCGGCCAGGTGGACCTTTTCTCTTGGGCATCGGTAGGGACATAGATCTAGAATATTCAGGAATGGGTCTCCTTTGTCCAGCACTACAACTATGAACATCAGATGGTGACAAAACCCCTACATTTGAGTTTGAGCTCACCATTCCAATGTTTTTCTGTAATGTTCTAACTTGTTCAAGCTCATGTTTCAATCTCAATCCTAATTCTTTCCTCTCAACACTTGACAGCTTTGATAAAGACAACACTTGAATTGGAACACCAAAGTGTTGGGAAGAATCGGGATTCAAGTTAAGAGACTTCCTGTTTGGCGCACAAGAATCTTCTGAAGCGGTCATTTCAGTGTCAAGACGCCCTGAGCTACCAAATCCTTCAGAGTTGGCCATGGTGTCAACTGCATGGCGGTAGTCTGGAACAAACCCATGTGAGTAGCCTTTAGAAACTTTCCTTGTTTTACCCATCATTTGAGTGAAATTGTTTTGTGATGATAACTTCTTTGAAACTCTTTGTCCAGCAAACTCTACAGGAAAAGTAGGTGCCATAAAACTCAATCCCCAAGAGCTGAAAGCATCAACTCCCGGTGTTCATAAATACCCATAACTTGCAAACTTATTCAAAACTCATATATACAGATAGAGATGCCAGGTAAAAATCTTGTGAAGTATGAATGTATCAAACAAACTCAAATGTTTCCGATTCAGAATTGTCAAAAGCTTATATAGATAGATGTAGGTTATATCAGATATCTAACCAATTAACATGGAATCTACGAATCGGGTTTCAAAATTGATTGCAAGATAAATCTAACCATTCACGTATTAACCGCAAGCGACGTTAAGATGAATTCAGCAATTGATCCAGATCGACAACATTCAAAACGAATGCCACGAAACAAACACAAGCGGAAAGAATGAAATCAATAACCTAATATACCCTCTAAACCCCGGATGGAACACCAAACGTAAAGAGGCCAAACGAATTAATAAACCCTAGAGTAACTTTTTTTCAAAATTGGAACCCTGGATTAACGGTACCAAAGAGAAAGAGTCGAACACAAAACGTGGCTCTTTGAGGCAAAGAAAACAAAATCGCAATCGGATAGAGAGGGTAAGGTGTGTTTGGAAACCCTAGAAAAACCCTCGCTCGTTGGAGAATCGACAAAACGTGCGAGATTAAGAGAGATTTATAGAGAGGGAGCGAAAGGAAGATTGGGCTAAAAAGATGAGAGAGAGAGAGAGAGAGAGAGAGAGAGAGACGTGGTGGTTGGGTTATGGAGTTATCGGTCTCCAGTTAAAAAGCGAAGGGTGATGGCTTGGCTGGTGGCTGGGGGTGTGAGTCGCCTCTTTGCGCGCCGCTCTTTTAGCAAATCTTGGCCGACATCTTTTGGTTTCATAATTCATCTTGTGGTCCATATTTCTAGACGATTTTCTTCATTTTGAATTTGTATTTTTTTTACCATCTTTATCACGTCCGAATTCTGATCATTATACATGCTTGAATATGATTAAATATAGATTATGAGTAAATTATAAATGCTCCATATCATTTGATGTTACCTTTGTGTTTTTAATTTTTTTTATTCATAATTTGGACAGTAATGTATTTTTTTTATGTCTCTTAGGTAAAATAGAATGAAACTATTTTCTATTCACTTATTTTTCTAATTAATTTGTTATTTATTTAAATATTAAAATAAATCAAAATGAGACTCACCCTCCTCCCCTCCCCTTCTTGTGACGACCACAACCATTAACTTTCGGTTACTTCTATTGTTACAACAATAATCCTAGAAACAAAACAAAAACATAGATCCAAAATAGAACATAACCAAATGAAAACATTGTGAGGTCGGGTGTTACGAGACCAAATGAAACACTATGAGGTTGGATGTTACGAGACCAAATTAAACCTCAACAATTTTGTACTTTAAAGAAGTTTGATATTGATTAAGAACACGACCACCATTACTAAAGGCAGATTCAGATGCTATAGTGGAGACACGGATGCTTAAAATATCTCGAGTCATGGAAACAAGCTCCGGATAATGATATTGATGTGTTTTCCAAAAAGAAAGAAGATCTAAATCATCACTTATGTCACTTCTTGGCTCATCAAAGTAATAAAATTTTCGTTTTTAAATTAATAAAATTGTAATCCAAACATCATCATAAAATCAAGATAGAACAAAGTGTGTCAAATACATCATGAAACATCAGAGTAAGCATAAAATACAGAACGAGGTGGTGTGTGCACTGCAATCATCTCGGGCTCTTCTCTTTTGTGAGAACCAACACTTCTCTAATACATTTACAATATTATTACTCCAAATATGCTACATGCATATTCATAATATAATTTACAAAAGTCTGTATACAAACCAACTCTTAAGACTTTTACAAAGTTTTATATATTACATAACTTCCCAGGAATTTATACACTAAGTACAAAAGTAATAATATTATCTATTCTACATCTCCCAACAGTACATGACTATACTGGATGTTTATCACCTGCAATAGTTAAACACCGAGAGGGATAAGTGGGTGACGCTTAGTAAGTTCAATAATAGTTACAATATAACGCTATGTCATATATATATATATATATATATATATATATATATATATATATATATATATATATATATATCAATATGACAGGAGCAAAGAGGGACAAAGAACAACAAAGACATATGTGTATCATATGACAGGATTTCCATATCAACGAATAATCTGATTCAAAGATTTACAATCAATGAAATACAACAATTTCAACTTGATATACATCAATAAGACTTTAGCCCAAGTAGCATAGAAAATACAATTTCGGATTATCATTTTGCTAGAATATACAGGCTTTTAGCCCTACCTAGCATTCTACCAATACCAAAGTGATGCTTAGTCATTCACTTCATGGTCAAAGGCTTCATACCAATACCAAAGTGATGCTTAGTCATTCACTTCATGGTCAAAGGTATAGCTCCATTATCATAATAACACGGGAAAACACATTGCACATATAACACATAACATACAATTGTCCCTATATTGAACTCACTGTGAAATAACCGAATGTTGCGATGAAATTACCCCTAAGTGCGTTTTTTACGATAGAATCCGACTAAACACTGTCAGCAGTTAGCGATCGTCGGCTCGGGAAAATGGCTCAAAATCAGCAATACGGGAGAAAGGGTTGCGTTTTTGTGTAAACGAAAGCAAGATGGTTGATCCTCTATTTATAGTTCGAAAATCAGACTCTCACGTCGTGAGCCTTATAAGCTCACGTCGTGAGCTCGATCCTGGTCAGCTCATAGGTTTGTCGCGTGTCTTTTAGGCTTGAGAGGTGTCAATCAACTACTTCACGTCGTGAGTTTGGTCAGGCCTCGAAGTTTGTGTTCCGAACTTCAGAAACTCATATCTTTCGCATACGAACTCCATTTTTGACGTTCTTTATATCCACGTGTAGGTGAAATTATACTCTACAACTTTCGTTTAGACTCCGTCGGCTAATTTTGACTTCATTTTTAATATTATATTTTTAACAGACCGGGAAATGAAAAGTCCGTTAAAAATTCATAACTTCTTTATCCGACGTCCGTTTTCTTCTGTCTTTTTATCGTTGTACTACTATTGACGAGACCTTCGATTCTCGTTTAAGTTGTGTCGGCTAAAAATCACTCGATCTTTATTTCGAGTCTCGTGTTGTGTACTGCTATGTCGAAACTTAGAAAAATCATAACATCCTCATACGAAGTCAGATTTTGACGTTCTTTTTATGAAAGCTCTCGGTTTAACGAATACTACAACTTTCATTTAGATCACTAAAGCTAAAAAGTAGTTTATTGAAAACTCACTTTTTACGTCATATAGCGTCGTGCCGGTTCTGTTGCGAAACTTTAATGAGTCATAACTTCTTCGTTATAACTCAGATTTCGATGAGATTTTCGCCTAAATGTTTCTAACAAGATAATCTACAACTTTCAATAACATACTTTTACTTATTTCCAACTTTATATTTTCGTTAATTTCAATAGTTGACTTTTGATCGGAATCTCATAAGACTTCCAATATTTTCCGAACGATTCTAAACATAGTTTTACTTCAAATCTCGTAAAAACTAGCTTGTTAGAACTCAACGCTCAAAATCATATAATATTCAATAATATTCACTAACAGGATTACAAAATACGATAATTACACTAGGTTATTAACGTGTATGTTATAAATACCTCATCCTTTTGAGAATTTCGTCCCCGAAATTACAACGATTTAAACAAATGGGGATATTTCGCTCTTATCTCATTCTTATTTTCCCAAGTATAATTTGGGTCGCGATGGTGTTTCCACTTGACAAGCACCAACTCCATTTCTTTATTACGTAGATTAGTCGTTCTTTCGTTTATGATCTCTTCAGGTTCTTCTACATATCTTAATTTATTATCCAGTTTCACATCGGATAACGGGATTGTTTCATCATATATGCTTAAACATTTACGCAAATAACTCACATGAAACACATCATGAATACCTGCCAAATCTTCAGGCAATTCCAAGCGATATGCTTGCTTACCAATTCTCTGGATGATTTTGAAAGGACCAACAAATCTAGGACTTAGTTTTCCTTTCTTCCCAAATCGCATAATGCCTTTCCATGAGGATACTTTCAGCATTACGAAAATCACCCAACTGGAATTTTATGGGTCGTCGCCTCTTTTCTGCATAGGACTTTTGTCGATCCTGGGCCGCTTTCATTCTTTCTCGTACAATTTGAATCTTATCAGTGGTGTCTTGAATCATTTCAGGGCCTCCAAGGATTTTTTGTCCTACATCACGCCAACACAATGGAGTACGACATTTACTTCCATATAGTGCTTCATATGGTGGCATTTTGATTGAAGTGTGGTAACTGTTATTATATGAAAATTCGACAAAAGGTAAGTACTTATCCCAGTTACCCCGAACTCCAAGACGCATGCACGAAGCATATCTTCTACTGTTTGGATTGTTCTCTCTGTCTGACCATCTGTCTGGGGATGATACGTTGTGCTGAGAGCAACTCGAGATCCCAATTCACGTTGCATACTCGCCCAAAAATGAGAAGTGAAGCGAGTATCACGATTGGAAATAATCTTTAGTGTCACGCCATGTCTCGCAATAATTTCATCCAAGTATACTTGTGCATATTTTTCCATTGGAGCTGTTTCACGCATGGCAAGAAAATGTGCACTCTTAGTCAGTCGGTCGACAATTACCCAAATGATATCATTCTGTCTCGCAGTCTTTGGCAATTTGGTAATAAAATCCAAGGACAGCTCCTCCCATTTCCACACGGGAACACTAATACTTTCTGGAATTCCGTAAGGCTTTTGGTGCTCTGCTTTGACTTGTAAGCATATTAAACATTATTGCACGTATCTTCCGATGTCTCTCTTTAATCCAGGCCACCAATAATCAGCCCGTACATCATAGTACATTTTACTTATACCAGGATGTATTGACAATTTAGACTTATGGGCTTCATCCAAAATCTTCTGTCTTAATCCACCAATCTTTGGAATCCATAGCCAATTCTTAAATACTTTCAGTCCACGTGGATCATCAAGTAAAATATCAGCATAATGTACCATCCCTTCCTTCTTCACATTTTCTGGCTTTAAGGCCTCTACTTGCCATTTTTCTAGTTCATCAAGAATGGTGAACTTTACGGTAGTGTGGGTAATAACATAACACACACTATTATGATAAACCTTCCTGCTAAGTGCATCGGCAACTACATTGGCCTTTTCCAGGATGATACAGGATTTCACAGTCATAGTCTTTGATCAGCTCCATGGCTCGTTGTTGTCTCATATTCAAAGTTTGTTGACTGAATATATACTTGAGAATTTTGTGGTCGGTAAATAATTGACATTTTGTACCAAAAAGATAATGTCTCCAAAGTTTTAGGTCAAATACTACTGTATCGAGTTCGAGGTCATGGGTGGGATAATTCTTTTCATACTCTTTCAGTTGTCTTGAGGCATAGGCTATTACTCTACCACGTTGCATCAACACACAACCGAGTCCCAACCTTGAAGCATCGCTATACACGGAAAAATCATTATCACCTTCTGGGAGTGATAAGATCGGAGCATGAGTCAAAAGATCTTTTAAAGTTGAGAAAGCTTTTTCTTGGGCTTCACCCCATTCGAACTTTACTTCCTTTCGTGTAAGACTTGTGAGAGG